ACTCACCACCAGCAGGAAGGCTGCAATGCCAAGTGCCAAGATTTTTCTCTTTCACACATACACAAAGTGTTGTAAAAATCTGTGTTTGCTTTCTACCAGTTAAAAAAATGGAAACACTTTCGAAGTGGAGAACAGAAAGTTTTCTCTAACACAAGTTTGTATGCCACAAATCGAAGCACAGAGTTTCTTCCTTCTCACTAGCTACAACCTCACAGCTCACAACTAGTATGCCTGCTACCAGCTATTAGCAGCAGTAAGTGGACATTCACGTATCAAGGTATTTCTTTGCCCAGAGCTGAAGTCGCAGCGGATGAACAGAAAACTGACTGAGGCTCCTACCCTCTCTAATGGTGCAGGCAGCAGCTTTGCACATCGTTTTGTTCAGGCTGTCTATGGTGCTTGGAGCTGCGGTGCCCTCAAGCTGTACCCAGCTGTGGGTGGTCAGGGGTCCCAGTGTGGTCCCTCAGCCCACCGCTGCCATTCAATTCAGGAGATCAACCGACAGCTCGGAGCACCTGCTCTCTAGGGCCGCAAGACCTGCCTTCCCACGCAAGCAAGCATCCAAAACCTAAGTTGGATGCTTTGGAAGCAATTTGTGTGCACCCCAGGCCCGGCCCCATTATGCAAGCATTGAATTAAGAGTTTCACGCTCTTACTACATGAATCCCCTTCAGGAAAAAAAAAATGCTGTGTATAGCAGAGATTTTTCTGTGCCTTTTCATGTGATCCTACTTGGATTGCAAAGTCTCGCCTGACGTAGGCTAAGGTGTTTCTGCTTCGGATCTGTCTGGTATTGGAGGTCATAAAAAATTGGAAAGACGTTGCCAGCAAGCTCTTCTGGGAACATAAATTGTGCACATCTTGCAGGTACTGTTTTTGCTTGGGGGCCTGCAGATGGCAGGGCCGCTTTGCCCAGACCAGAGCTTCCCGTGCTCCACCCCCTCCCCCCCCCCTCATGACTTCTCATGAGCCCTGGTCTTCTAGCACACGGGTTTTGTTTTTTCCCTGAGGTCTTTCTTTTCAAAGCAGGGCAGATGAGACCCAGCAGGGGAAGAGCAGAGCAGGGCATATATCAAAGTGGGCAGAGCTGGGCCCTTCAGGATGCTTTGCTCACAGCAGGCTGGACTCAGTCCTTGGGGATGGCAGCACCACGATATCTGCTCTGGAGCGGGAATACGGCGCTTGTGACTTTAAAGTCCTGCTCTCTTCCTCCTCACGGCAGGCAGCATGAGCAGAGTATTTCCTAGGGCAAGTCATCCAGCAGGTCTCCAGGGGGGTTGGAAGTGGGGTGAGGAGCTGATAAATGAGCAGGTCTGGGTCAGCATTTAGGTGACTCTCCAAGCAAGGGATTAGTGGAGGAAAAACAGTGTGGGGAGGGAAAGAAGGGGAGAAAGGGAACTGCATGTCTCACTTCAGCTGTTAAAACCTACCTTATGTGTGTGCAGCTGTTTGCGTGGAGGAACTTAGCTCTTCCCCAGCCTATGTAGCCCCACGGCAGCCTGTGCTTGCATCTGCACTCCTGGCTCTTGTAACTTCCCGGGGAGTGGGGACATCATGGTGAGACATGGGAGGAAAGATCTCAACATAGCAGCAAGGCATGCATATAATATTACGTAGTACAGTACATTTAGCTAAATGCATGTGCTTATGTTCGTCATCAGGTGGATACCACGTGGGTACAGATTATGGCACCTTTGCTGCCTTGGCTGATATACACACCATGGGTTCTCTGGTAAATCTGATTTGCTCAGTGCAGAGATGGTTTAACTGTTTTGTTGCCCGATGCACCAGGTATAACATTGCGCATCTGCCACACGCTGCCTCTCATAAAAAAAAGATCATTGAGCGTCTCAGAAGAGCGTTTTCTCTTGTAGATTTAGACGCAGGTGGTCCCTGTACGATATATCGTGCCTACTGGTGATCCTACACACTGTCCCTGCAGTCAGGAAAAGACCACCAAAGAAAGAATAGGTCATTCCTGTAGCAAATGCTACAGGAGCACATGCTCTGGTTTCCAGATCTCACATACAGTCAGTGTAGGGCGCACAGTGCTCAGCGTTACTGTGCTGTTGTTGTGGGTGGCCAAGTGGCTGCATGTTTTGTTGGGGTTTTTTTAATTTCATCTTTGTTTTGCATAGATTCATTTGAATGCTGACAAAAGTGCCTGGAGACATGGGAATGTGCTTTAGACAAAGCCAATGCTGTAAGAAGTGTAGTGTCCAAGTAAGCTGTAGCACACAGACTTGCAAATGCTTTTGCTGGCTCTCTTCCAGAGGGATACAGCAGTTATCATATTCCTGGGAACTATACCCTCTTTGTTTTCCTCTGTTTCTTGAGGAAGGGGTGCTTTCTACTACAATTGCAGTGAGTTTAACTAATGACAACTGTATGCTGAAATTGCTTTTTGCGCTGTTTCTACTTCTGTAACTCTTAAGATAATGTTTGACTACAGAGGAAAGCTGCAGTAATGGAAGCAGTAATAAATTCAGCGTGTTATGGTGACTTTCTAATGCCATGTTGTTATTTTGATAATCATTAAAAAGGAGATCACCAAAGGTCATTTTCTCAGGATGGAGAAAATAACTTATAACAGGGGATGTAAAGAACTTGGGTTGTACAGGTGACTCAAAAGAAATTTGAGAAGTGACCTTAATTCTGTGTATGAGTGTCTCTGAGGGGGAGAAATGCCAGCTATCACAGGGCTTTTTAATCTAGTGAGCGAGGCACAGAATAGCCATGGTTGAAGATTAACAAAGGTCAAAAATAAAATTAGAGACCAGGCATACTTTTTGAACAGTGTTTACTGATAAATATTGGGATGAGCAACCCAAGGAAGAGATTGATTAGATGGGTATTGATGTCTTCCAAGGAGGTTCAGGGTCTTTCTGGGACACAGGCTTCAGGCAAGCAGACATGAATGGCTCCAGGCAGCATTAAATGGTCATGTCTTTTGGTCTGTCTGCGCATCTAATGTTCCCTTCTGTCCCTGTGAACCAGGGATGTCTGCAATGAAAATTGATGCGTTATAGTCTTCCAGGCCTCTTTTTCAATATAAAAAAGAGAGGTGGAGTCCATGGAAGAATGAACTTGTCTGATGTGGTGATCAGAAGAATACTGTCCTCTGTATTAGTGCACACAGTTAATTAAACTTCTCAACAATGCTACAATCTCTGTTCTGTTCCTTAAAGAGGTGGGCAAACTGACAGCAGACCTTAAATCCTGCGGGGAGCTCACATCATCAGCAGCTGGAGCTCATTGTTTCTGTATGAAGACTACACTGTACATCATACACATACATGACCTAACAGCTTCAGCACCCACCTGCAGGTTTCCTAGGGTGGCACCAGTTGCCTGATGGAAGTTTAGCAGGTTGATACATGCTCAGGAGTACGTGGACTTCAAGAAGCTGAAGAGATGGGGTTGTCCTCTAAGTAGAAAGGCTGCGTTTCTGGTGCACTATAGAGGCTTCCTTCTAACTCTTTTTAGACTTACAGAGAAGAAAGCACTTGGCAGCCTAAGGAGGACAGATTACTGCCCATCCAATCCACCAGTTTTCCTATAGTAAACCTGTTTGGTTTAATATAGTGAATAGTGACTGCCACAAATTGGGACTGCTTTTCTCTGCTGGGGAGGAGGAGGAGGAGGAAATGTTTTGCATAATTGAAATACTTCGTAGTAGGGAAGGAGAGTTCGAAATCCATTTCAAGGTCACATGTACCCAAAGTATACAGAGTCCTCTGCTCAAAATGATGCCTTTTCAAAACAAGCATACCAAGGTTATTTCAGTTCTGATCACCACGCTCAGTCTCACAATAATTAAAGCCTGTTATCTGGATCCTTGCAATATCGTGACTCACCAGCTAATGATGACACTGTCTCACACATGCATCAGTCGCTGCTTTTTAAGTCACGGAAATCGTGAACTCCCGGTACAACTTAATCTTCAACATTTCTTTTCCCATTTTTGTTAATTCACCTGCAGATTAACTCTTAAAATACCCTGTCTTCTCTTCTGACAATGACAAGAAGTGGAAGACATCTCTTGGCTATTATATACTAGTTTCTTGTAATATAAAGTTGCCCAAGGGCCCCCAAGATGCAGTAAGAGGGCTGAAAATGTCTGATGAAATGATTGCTGTCCCCACAACCAAGAACAAAGCGTGTTCATTTAAAAAAAAAACAACCTAACAATAACAGCAAAAAAAAGTAATATATAAAGGCTTTAGCCTAGTTTTTGCTTGTTTGCGGAAAAACAATGTGCCTTATGGATAAAGGAGAGGGGAAAAGCGAGTTTCCCAAACTTTATTCTATGTTTCCAGATCGTGCTTTTATCCCTTCCCGTTCACAGACTGCTTCCCGCAGCCCTCTGGGTCTGTGTGCTGGTGGGTACCTTATAATGGCCTCAGGCTTGGCAGATGTTGCGTGTGTGGAAGGAGCCAGGCGTCAGCCAAACATGTGGCACCCGCGCGGGCTGCCGCTGCCGTGGTTTGTGTGTGTGGACTGGGTATGGCACGTTAAGCAGGCCACGGGGTGCGGGATTTGTTTCTTCTGGCCTCAGCTGTCTAAAAGTTGGCTGTCTGAAGCTAAGCGAATGATGTGCTCTTTGTCTACAATTAACAGAGAGCAACATGCACCTCCAGAGGATAACTCCTCCCAGATACCTTAGACGCCTATCTTAGGATCACATGAATTGCTTTCTAGAGGTGCCTCTTCTCCTCCATTGACTGTGAAGGGAACACAGGTGGCTGACAAGCTTCAGCAACTAACTTTTAGGTGGCTGAACTGGGGGCTATAGAGAGCTACCTAGGAGACCTCAATGAAAGGTAACAGAGTCAAAAAGATCTTATGAGTGGTTGCAAGGTAAGAGGTCCCTGAGTCCAAACCAGGGCTTTTCAGCTGATTTTCTGGATGATCCAGTGGTAGCAGTGGTGGTGCTGGTGGCATCCTTCTGCTGGAGAACACCAATCTGATTGTGCTGTTTTTTTTCTCCACCCCCAAAGGTCGCCACTGTGAGGTCCATCAGATGATTGGAAACTACATGTGGGACCAAAAGACAAATGTATCTTTTGACATTGGTGTGACTAAAGAAAGCCTGCTGCCTCTCTGGTGGAATGGATCGGAGCCTTTGTGGGTCACAATGATGAAAGAAAAAAAGAACGTTTCCATGTACTACTGGCCAGGTTAGTATGTCAAAAATTGCTACCATCTTAACGGTGTATCTTTACATCTAAGCACTCCATATGCTGTAGGATGGCTCTTTAATACAGTTCTGAAATACAGACAAGAATTATGAGTGCTTTGCTAACCACTCATAGAAATGAATTATCATCTTTTCTTAGGCCATGATAATTTGCATATGCTTAGAAAGGAAAAGACTGAAGTGTCACTGAAGGCATCTTTCCACCAAACGTTACCTTCGGGGGGGCGCTGGCTTGCAGAGCATCCCCTCCTCCACCAACTGCTCCTTCCTCTTGCCCACCTGTAGCTTCTGCTGTGCTGAATGGGTGCTCCATGGCTGGTTCACGGAGCAACACGGTAGAGCATGTCACTGATCAAAGTTAAACAGTAACCATCCTCCCCCAATGCTTGTTTGGTTTTAACCTGGAAATTAGTAGCTGAGAGCTGAAGACGATCTACTCTGTGGGGACAGCAAAATCCAGCTGAAAGCAAAACATCCTTTGGTGAGCTGGAGTGAGCACTCTTGTCCTCCTTCATCATTAACTCAGCTGAGGTCCCAGTTGCTCTGAGTCTGAGCCATTCATCTGGAGGGACTTGGCCTTTCCGTTCCTCATTTGTTGGATATTGGACCACTGAAATCACTAGGGATGTATAATAATGAGTCTTTTTTAACAAATAGGAGTATACCCTTAGGCTGTCCATTTAGGGACCCACATGGAAATAAATGTTCCAGCTGTGCAGCCAGACCAAATCCCTTGCAAGGTACCCAGCTTCTCAACTTTTTGACCTTTTAACTCTGCTACCTAAGCAGTATGCAAATATCCTCATATGTGTAACTGCAGGCTGAAGGACCACATGTTAGAAGAGCTGTACTGAATACAGCCAGTGCCAGTGGGTAGGGCGGCAGCAGCTGACTCATGCTGCGGGCTCCCGGCCAGCTTGTCTTCTGCATCCCAACGCACGTGTGCCTGGTCACGGTCTTTCCATGCAATGTGGCTAATGGCGTCCCAGAAAAAAGGCCACAGTTCTCAGGAGAGGGAAGAAAGAGCAAACCAAGACGAAAAACATTGAAAAGCCATCCAGAGTCTTTCTACAGTACTGAAGAGCAGAAAGAACTGAGGGTGACACTATTGCCTTATGGACTCAAAGGCCCTCCGAGGGACTGGAATTGCAGACTAGATATAATGGTTTGGATCAGCCCTCAAAAAAAAACTTCTTATTGGAGATCACCCGAGTGACCTAACAGCAATGCAAATAGGAGCATATAGAAATTATACAAGAATGTAGAAATTCTAAAGATTTACAAAGACCTATTTCTATAGACTATTCATTTTTAACGTCTAATGTAACTGCACTGAACAGGTATAATTATGTACTGAGCAGATGTAACAGTCTACAGAGAGCTACTGAAATCCAAAAGAACAGTATCACTTTCCATTAAATGCCTTTGGATTTTACCTAGCTCTTTCATGTTGCCCTTTGAGCAGTGTCTCCCAGGAAGGAGAGTGTATACGTATGTATCCCTGTATACATATGTATACCCTTCGCACTTATCTGTCCATTATTTCCAGTGGAAAATTGCAAGGAATGACAGAGCCTCCCTTTTCCCAGTCCTTATGCTGCCAAGTGTATGCATTCTTACAACACAGAGGGGGAATTTTTTGCGTGGATCTGGTATTTGAGCCGTGGACTGTGACGTATACATCTGTCTGTCATTAATTATTTATCTGTGACAGACGACCTTTGGCAGTCATCAGTGCCTCAGTTCAGCAAACGCTTAAGCACATGCTTATTTTAAGGGTGTTCATGGTCTCAGAGGACACATCGGCCATACAGGGTCAGGCACAGGGCAGGAAGCGGGGTGAAATGTAGAACTATTGAACGAAAACACAGGACAGTTGGGCTGCAGTAGGACTCCAGGTGTAACTGGAGTAAACAGAAGTCACCCTAAATGCAATAGTATTTATTACATTTTCCCTATATGATTTTTTTGAACTGTTTTCTAGTTCCATAGTAAGGGTGTAATCCTTACTTCTAGATTTATTATTTTAAAGCTTTAATTCTTTAAAGGGTGTTTGACTGGGGAGCGATGCCAAACAAAATGAAAGAAAAAATAAGGGTTTAATAACCAAGGTGGGTGAAGGTCCCACAGACGTTTGCACTGAGTATGATCTGCTATTAGTGATTAACTTTCCAGCCTGAGGATATACTGCTGCTTAGTAATGAATCTTGCAAATCTGATAAAGATCCGAACAGGAAAAGTTTGGGAAACTGCTAATAGGAACAGCAATGTTCAGCCAAATTCATCACACTTTGTTCTGGAAGATGCTATTTTCTCTCTAGCCAGCAGTGAAGACAAATGAGACTGATCAAACGTAGCAGAAACGCATTGCGAATGCCAGCAAGCTAATTCCCAGGGTTAACTTACACCACTGCCATTTCCTCCTCAGAGCCAGTTCCAAGCTTTGCAAAGTCTGAACCCAAAATCTGCCGCTTGGTATTCTTCCCTGTGTTCCTCTCTCATGCGTAGTCAGTGCTTAAAGGAAGAAAATCCAGACCCCAGCGAAGAGGGACACAGAGCAGGAGGGCTGTCGGATACGAACACCCATCCTTCACAGCATTATCTGTGAGCCCAACATAAACACAGCAAAGACAACTCATGGGCAGAATTCATCTGGGCTCTCCTGCCTCTAGAAGCAGAGGAGCCAAAATACCAGCGCGCCAGGAGTCCCAACCACCGCTTCTGCCAAAATATAAGCACTTGGCTTGTAGGAACATTTTTCTCCTTTCTTCATGGTGTTTATTAGGCAGTTTCTGCTCTTCAAGAATTCCTGGGGAAAAAGTCATGTATCCTCTGACTGTTTGATTGCTAAATAGAACACAACAGCTAACACCGTATGTGGGGTGAAATGTGTAGCCTCACGCCCAGGTCGCCTGTCTGAAGCACTGCCGCTCCAGCGGATGGAGAGACCCCAGAGGAGTGTGAGTGCATCGTGGTGGTACCACCAAAGTCAAAGCTTTATAGCACTCCTCATGACCAGCCCGGTGGGTGATGTCACCCCAGACCCTCAAACTCCTTCATCTTCCAGCAGCCTATGCAACTGCTTCAGCTGAAGTGCAGTGACATCTTTTCTAAACACTGAACTGAGAGAAAGGGGAAAAAAAAGACTCTAAACCCAACTTTTTGCCATTTAAACACAACATTTACCTGACCATGGAGCTAGTCTGGAAAGTTTTCAAAACCTTCTGTTATGACATGAAGTGTCCGACTGTTAAATCAATATTTAGAAAGGCAATTTAAAGCTGGCAGAGGTTCAGGTTTCCATGTTAGACAGATAAAGAGGAGCCTATATTATCACTGTGAAAGAAGTCCTTATTCCTGCTCCAGTAGTTCAGGTTTTTAAATAAAGGTTTAGCGTCATACAAAACTGTGCAGAAAGGTATCTAACATTACATCTTAGTAAATACAGCTCATCCATTTGTAGTTCAACCAAGAAAAACTTAACATTCCCTTTGTCTGGCTCCAAATCTCCTTAAATTTCCTTTCCCATAATATTTAAATGAGAAAATTTACCATCTGTCCTGGCCTCTACCAAAATGAAATTTAAATATTAAAGGGTCTTCATGGCCAGTATTTTGGAATTGTAACAAGCCTTAACATCAAAAATCCAATTTTAAGTTCTGTTCATCACAGAGGCTAAAAAAAAAAAAGAAAAAGGAAGCTCTTGGTATCTAAGCAGCATGAATTTTCAGGGTTACTGCCAATGAACTGCACACTTGAAGACCAATATTTAGTGGCCAAAAAGATTTCTAATTGCTGTTGCCTCTGTAGTTTTTTATGTCATGCTCATCATCTGGCAGTCTAGAAATAGCAAAGATATCTGAGCAACTAAAATATCCCATATCCCCAAGAGGTTAATTCTTCCAGTTAAAATTATCTCGTGAGTAATTCTGAGGAACGTTATCTGAGAAAATTATAATCTGATGTCAGTATCTGAAGAGGAAAAAAGAGGCAAAATCATCGTATTAGTCATTGGCTATGAGCAATCATCCACCTGAACTAAAATACTAGGCATTTCCAACATGTTTCCAAACACATCCTTAACTTCTTGCCTGGCTTTGGAGCCAATCTTTTCCCAGACTCAAGTGTCAAAGGAGAAATTGGCTCTGAAGTTCCAGTTCAGTCCTGAAATACTAGCAAAGCCCACAGAGGACTACTGCATCACCTCTAGTACCCGAGGTAGCCGAAAGCCCGTGTATTGCTGCTGGTAGCACCCAGGACATCATGGAAAAGACTGAAGCTGCACGCCCTCAGGGCAGGGGGCAAGGGCTCCTGCTTCCTGGAGATGACTTCAGGTCATTCATGGAACACATTTTTTTGATGATTTGGGTACGTAGCAGCTGGGACCTGTCTCTGTTGCACAATGTAATTTCTTGAAGGTGCTGTGTACAGGTGTATAGAAGTTTTACTGTGGGACGGTATGGAGAGTCAGTTCTTCTCAAGTAGTTGGCAGGCTGTTCATCCAGGTTGCAGATTACTTTCGTGGTGGAGAGATAAACACTAAAGTATCTCCATGCAGAAAGGGGAGGATTAAGTCATATAAGCTTGGGGCAACAGGGGAAGAACAAAAAGTGAGCACCATCACACACTCCCACAATTTTTATCAAAACAAATATTAGCTAGAGGTTCAAAATTATGTAAATATGTTTTTACAGAAAAGTGAATTAGTTGACTACATTTTCTGTTTATTATTGCAAATAATTAATTCTTACAAACGATTAATCATAATAGATGGGGTCCCTTGAAACACACAAAGAATGTGGAGACCTGGGAGATGCTACCATGGACCACTGGGTGAAAAGACTGCATCTGTCATGTGTGCTAGGGCTCTTTAACTTTTGGAAAAGGTAACCTACATCTGACTTATCTGGCTTTCTGCAAATCAGTGAAGATTTTCTAAAATTTCCTAGGCTTAAATATTTAAGTTTTTCTAACCTTTCATGGTACTCCTGAGAAGTCTCTATCAGAAGTCTCTTAGCCAGCTTAGCCTGCAAGCGGTGTGCTTTTCCCGGTGTCCCAGTACTGCACCTCAGCGATGTGAGCTCACGCGGGCTGAGATGCAAGACACTGACAAATTCTCTTTACTGAGTGTCCCAGTAAGCAAACCGCTGTAAATCATCTCTGAAAGTAGCTCTGCTTGCTCTAGTGCCCTCTCTGTACTTACACCTCCTGTGCAACCTTCTTCTCCCCCAGGCAATGAGTCAACTTACGACAGTCCTTAATGCCTATTCCTTTCATCCCAAAGGAGAAGCAAAGGGACCCAAATGTAGGCAGATTCAGGCTATGGCTTAGAGTGGCCTTTTTGACTTGGCTGTATTGCTGTATACAGAGGCCATTTTGCAAAAGCTCTCTTTTTTTTTTCCCCTTATGCCCCAGGAATACACCAGAAAATGCCTAACTGTGATGGGAGGACTCTGGGGCTCTCGAAAGATAATTTGCATGAATCCAGTGTTTCCGAAAGCACACTTCTTTTAAATATTAATGTTATTCAGCAGCATAGTAACCAGAGAGCAAAAGGGCAAAAAAACCCCACAAAAACATGTTTTGTGTGTTCAGGGCCATGTTCTCCTGTAGGATTTGTTGCCATAAATTTCTGGGCCACAGAACAGACTGTATTTTGCAAGGAAGGCTGCAAGTTACCAAGAGAATTAATTGGTTTATACTGTTTTAATAAGACCTCCTGGGAAACAGATTTAATAGTGGAGTGCCAGTATCACATAATAAAATATGGTTTATAGAGGATATTACGACGTAAGATACAGCGTGTCTAACTGGAAAGTATTTGCTGAACTTTCAGGGAACAATATCTAAATCTATTATGTTGGAAGCCTGGAACTGAGGCTATGTGGCCGCAGTAGTTAAAATTAAAACAAGCTAGCGATTTAGGTGGAAACCATCTGCCGTGAGGGAATCAAGAGTTTTATTGTGGCAAGGTCACACAGAGACCTTCCTTTTAGAGAGGGAAATAAAAGGATCCAATGTACAGTTTGCTACAAGCGCTCGTCAAACCAGCCTCTCTCCCCTTTTCCCTTCCCAACCACAAGGTTTCCTGCAGGGAAGGTGTAAGGTAAGTAATGCCACAGGGAATTTACAAACCTGAACTTGGACCCCACGGTGTGGGGTCTGTGGTCAAGGTGAAACAGCAGAGCTTACCACATTTTTTGCTCGTAGGTTGTGAGGTCGAAATCCTTGGAGTCAGACCAAGTTATTGCCGCGAGTACTTCAGCGTCCCAACAGACAAAAACTTTGCGGATGCCATCAGCGATGCTCTCGAGTCTTTGCGGTACGTCACTAGACTTCTGCAGTGTGGGGTTTCCTCTCTCAGGGACGAGTATTTGGGTTTACTGTCAGCCGTGCTCTAGGGAGATATTCAGGATTGGCTCCCAGATAGGAAGATGGGAGCCGAGACTACTTTATACTACTGTCATAGAAACAGGCTCATAACAGAAATAGGCCCTTACATTAAGATCGGAGGGAAAGATGTGCTCCTCTTTTCATGTGTAGGCTACAACACAGAGGAGACATCCTGACTTACTATTTTTAATTTGCTGACAACTTCAAGATCAGTCTGTGAGTATCTGTTCACTGACCTGCAAACATTTCAGACTTTGAAATGTTTGGATTTAGGGAGAGCTCCTGGGAATTTGGAAATTCTGAAATTCAGCTCTGGTCACTTGTTTACGAGACCAATGCTTTGGCTCTTTCTGCATTTTAGAACATCTCAGGCACAAGGATTTTGGAGCAGGCATTCATTTTGTGCAAATACGAGTATAGAACAGAATAGAACAGAATAGTTCACTTGGAAGGGACTTACAACGATCATCTAGCCCAACTGATGGAAATGATGGGAATATATCTCTCAGGCAACTCCTAGGAAAAACGTATGCTCCACACCCAGCTTTCCACCCAGAGTTCCACCATCTCTCATCCAAACATTAACAAGGGACAATTCGACATAGGCTGTAAAATCAGGGAAGATTGCACCGCCACGTGTGGAGCCAATGCCTTACCTTAGCTATAACTAAGCCTCCTCTTTTAAAACCTTGTTGGTTCCATAATTCATCCAATCTTATGATACACTTCTACTTTACTACTTGCAAACTGCGATAGCGATTTGAATCTGAAAAGTTTCGTATTCAGATGCTGAGTGTCGATTGTCCTTGAAATAAAGGCTCCAAAATTGTGAGTGCTGCTGGAGATGTTGCTCCCAGTTGCACACTGGGTCCTGCTGCGCAGATGCTCACAAATCACAGTGTCGTTTACAGCATGGGGCTTAGAGAGACGCTGTCTCAGAATATGTGAGACATTTGATCCTGAAATTATTTAGCTTAGATTTTAAGAAAGCTATCTGCATGTGACATGAGGAGGTCATATGTGCCATAGGAGGCCTTCTGGAGCTTCTGTGACACTTTTAATTCAGTGAATGACAAAGGGAATGGAAAACTGAATACAGACACCAGCTCTGACTTCTTGTGGAAACTCAGAATTACCACAGAAAGCTTTTTGGTTGGGTATCATTTGAGGATGGGTCAAGATACGCTTGAAGCTTCCTGCCTGGTTTCTATGAAGCAAGGTGCATAAGGCTGCTCAGGACCGTTTGCAGCTTTGTAATTGTGAAAGTGATTAAAAGCAAGGCACAAACTGTTAAAAGCTCCAGCCCTTCAAGCTGGTCTTTTGGGTAGCTGGAGCCCATTGAAAACGTTTCAATAGCTAATTCACCCCGAGTCACAAGGCTGCTTGCTGCTGCCTTTGGTGGAAGAGAAGAAAAGGGCAGGGACACAACGGTGTCGGTGGGGCAGCTCGCAAGAGGTGAAAGCTGGTGATTTCAAGAAAAGAGCAAATCCCTGCCACCACAATGTCTGCCGTAAACACCACCTACAGCCTGCTAAAGAGCCCAAATCCTACAGATCATCCCGGAGCTGCGGGAGGTCCAGTCTCTGGTGGCCATTTACACACCACCCCTCTTGAATTTCTGCCTGGGTTCCTTTTCTTTAAACTAAGTGCCCTGTCTGCAGCAAGGCAGGAAAGAGGAAAAAGGAACGATCGTCAATAGAATTAATAATAAGTTGTGGGTGTAAATACTGCAGGGACTTACAGTAAGAAAGGAGGGTAGAGAATGAACAGATTAAAAATCAGGTAGGTTTTCCTTATCCTTTCTCTCATTCATCCTCTTTGTTTAGTCCTTTAAAATTTAGCAAACAATTTTTAGTGCTGCTGGGCCAGCCCATAAGCAGTAAAGCCTCTGAAATGCCTTTGTCGTAGGCGTACTCATTTAGCAGGAGTTAGCATCTCTGAGTAGAAAGAGTCTTGAGCTGCAATTTATCATCATCCACATCTTTTGCAAGAACTTCTGGCTCTTGAAGCTGTTCAAAGGCTGGCAAATCCAGCCTGTTTCCTTGCCACACCCCAACTAATTGAAAACGCCCATTAAGCTGAGGCTGGCACTAGCTATATGTGAGAAAACAGCCTGTGGCAAGGGCAGCCTGTCGCCTGGAGCAGTGCCATGCTCAGTTGCCCTAATGGCAGGTATTAGTGGTTAAGGAACTGCACTTATGCTCCCACCATTAGCAAACCTTACAGGGACTTCAGGGTAGAGAGAGTAAGCCCTTTATTGTGGCATGGTTCCCTAGGGGTTAACTTTAGTTTGGGCACGGGAACGTCCTGACCCATCTTAACTTCACCAGGGTGGAAGGGAGTTTTATCAATGCCCTCTGCAAGGGCAGGAGTACCTAACTCATCAGGGAGCCACTGAGCTCCTCTTGCAACCAAAGGAAACCATTCTTCAGGAGTGTTCTCCAGTCTCTTCAAACAGGTGCTCTGAGACCATTATTTAGACCAAAAATATTCAAAATTAAGTCAAGCACCCATTTTTGGCAAGCAAAACTAAAACCTCCCTTATGTCTTTTCCACAGCTGTAATTTAAGGGCTGTTGTAATCTACCTACCTTCCTGGACAGGTGTCATGAAGTTTGCGCGGTACTTGCAAAGTGTGTTGATAAAATATAAAACCCTTTTTGGTGTTGCCATCAATGCTGTCCAGCTTTCTTCAGCAAACTTTCCTTAGCCATTTCTTTTGAAAGTTACTGGTGATGAGAGAAGACAGGACTAACACACAGTTAGAAAGACAGATTTCTTCTCCCGTGCAAGCCATGATCAGAGATGCCTAGTTTTCTTAGGAAAACAGGCAAAAAATGGAAACAAAGTCAAACTCAATCTTACAAGCTCTGGATGTGCTGTACCAAATCCTGCAACTCCTAAGCATGCCGCATAACTGGAGCCTGTCCCATTGAAGTCATGTGCAAAGTTGAACGTTCATCCTTACAGCACTGAGCCCTCACTGAGAAATCTCACCACAGCCTAAATAAGACCACTTGTTTTATGCAATAAATCTCTTTCTTAGCGTCTATCTTGATCGAAATGATCATTTAGTTACAGGTGAGAAGACACAAAGCAGTCTAAGTAGCTAATTAATACAGGCACTGCAGCAGAAGAAAACTGTTTCAGTAGGTTCAATGAGTGTGTACGCAACATAGAAATTACAGGGTTAATTTTTAGAAATTAATTTATGCCTAATGCAGATGGAAAGTAATGCTTAAAATGAAGTTGGGGGGAGGGAAGGGCTGCTTCATTTGAATGATTTTAAAATCATGAAGAGTGAGAAAGAACACTGTTCTGCAGGGCCAGCAGCAGAGAAATTCCCATCATAGCAGAGACCTTCAGCTTCCTACAGGACTGCTCCTCTGAGGCCTTCAGCAAACTTACAAATGCAAATGACAGACCCCAATTCATTCATTCAGTCCCTCACCTCTCATTTTTTCTCTTCTGTCTCACTCATTCCACCAGGCTACTCAGGTGTCTTTAATCAGAGAAGCTGGTCCTGTCAGGACATCACACGAAGTCTTTTTGTAGGGATCTTGATCTGAGAGCATGGATTATGGATGGCACACCCTGTCATATATTAAGTACAGTAGGAAAAGACTGGGTTTGAACTTCATGAGCATAGATTTGCGACTTTATCCACATGACTGCTCTCAGGGAGCTTTATAGTGAACTGTAAAGTGGTCACGAAAATGTAATTAAGCACCGATGTATGTGCAATCCCCACTAATTAGGCTGAGGGCATTCAGTGAAGAAACGTGTGATCAGCTAAACTTGTGCAACTCTGAGATTACCTTAGTTTCCCTTTGGTCATATTTCTGAATAAAAACCCCATCTAAAATCTCACCCCAATTCATACCACCCGGGATTTTGCAAGGTCATGGAAGAGCCCATCCTAAGTTGACCTCCGTAGTTTAGAAGACCTCACACAGGAGAAAGCCAGAAGTGCCAAACTTTAATTAAAGCTCATTTGACTGGCAATTCCCACAATCCTTTTAATAAGGGCATTCAGCACAGAAATTAGTATTTCTTCTGGGTCTTTCCTTGTCATTAAAGGAAAAGCCAGCTTCCTAATTCGAAGAGGTAGTAGAGGGCTGCCAGGCCAGCCTGTGCTTGCACATGGCAGTCTCTACCTGGCACCTCCGATGGGAGTCTCAAGCAAACTCAGGAGACTCTGGGCATGAATTAACGAGCCCAGCCGTGTGACAGCAGGTAAGAAAGTGCAGGCTGAAAGCAGAAAATGGGGTTTTGTGGCTCTATGTGCCGGTGAGGACAATAATGCCGGCAGCCAGGAGGTCTCCATGTACGTCAGCCTCTCACTCCTTCCCCTCCCTCCCACCCCCAGCAACGGCAGCGCCGAGATGGCTGCTGTGTACTACGAGCGCATCGATGTGGAAGGCCACCACTACGGCCCTTCGTCCCAGCAGCGGAAGAATGCTTTGAAAGAGGTGGACAAAGCCTTGAGCAACATGATCACGCTCATCAAGGTGAGTGGCGTCCAAAAACCCAGCTCCTGGGTGCATTTGGAAAAGGCTTTTAAAACTGCTCTTTGTGGCACTGCCGAGAGCCCATTTAATGCCTGTTAATTGGATGTGCTGGCTGTAAACTTTTATTTCCTGAGAAACAGAGGCTACCGAGATCACGTGGAAGTCAAGGAACCATTCCCCTGATTTTTATTTTCGTTGATGGCATTATAATCCTCCTAGTGGATTATTATACCGATAGCCCCGGGAAGCCATAAACCAATATACATGTTGCTCTGTTTATAACTTGTGTTGCCAGCTGGGCTTTATAGTAGGCGAACGAATCAAAACCGCTTGCTTCCTAAGGTTTGTGGAATCAGACAATTAACTTTTATAGCAGTTTTTATGGCACCATTCAGAACTCTGTACTTGAAACTTTGTTTTAAAAAACATTATCTAAATGATTTTGCAGTGAGAAAAGGAGGATACCAAGCTTTTGGGTAAATGTCAATTCTATGAATATTTCTGACAATGATAAATGCACATTGGAGTTTTTTATGTGTTTCAGTGAGGAGAGGAATATGTATTTCCAATTTCACTAAATTATAAAAGCTCTAATGCTAAGTGCTTGTGTTTGGGAGGGGAAGAGACAAACACCCCTGCCACAGGTGGTACCGTAACAAAGTTGTTCTTCCCCAGCCGTTTTGGCCTACAGATGAAGACCTGTCTAAGACCAAGTGGGACAACTGGTTTGTGGGACTGGGCTGTAGCATCTGGTTATTTAGCAGGGGGCTGGATTTATTTTGGAAAAATCTCTCTTTGGCGCTAACCTCTCAGACTCTTCCAGGGCAGCAAGTGAGACTGGATGTCCACCACTATGGGTGGTGGCAAAGCACATTGCAGGGCATTTGCAGCCGTGCGCCTTCTGGCCAACTTCCACTAAATCAGTGGAGGTCAAATGGGGATTAAAATTCTCCAGCGGGCACAGACAGTGCGAAGCTCTTACCCGACCATAATGGCTGTCACGCACTCGCTTCACAGAGCAAGGGCCTTCAGCATGATGTCAACGTCCTCCTCTTCTCCGATCACGGGATGACAGACATCTCTTGGGCGGACAAAGTGATTGAGCTGAAAAACTATATCAATATGAGTGATACCATACAAATGAAGGACCGAGGTCCTGTTGTGAGCCTCTGGCCAGCTCCAGAGAAGCACGCGGAGGCAAGTACACCTTATTTGTATTTATTTAGTTTTGTGTTTCCTTGTTTTTTATGACAATTGTGTCTTTTGTTTGCCCGTAACATCCAAATCCTGCTCTCAGAGATGTGTGTAAAAATCAGCCTGTGGCTCTTATCGGGAGTCAGACTTGGATCCTGTGACACTCTTGTGATGCTGGTTTCTGAAGGAAATTCACACCAGGCAAATTAAAAAGCATGAACTTTCACCGTTATTTGGCACAGATACATGCTTTCAAACCCCACCACTATAGGCTTCTGATAAATAGCTAAAAGATTTTAGCTCAAAATCCATTTTTAGCATTTTATATATATATTAGTCAATTTATTGACACTCTAGCTGGGATTTTCAAATGATCTGGAGCAGGTCAGACATTCATATTCCAGTAAACTCCCATAGAGTTTGAGGAATTAACTCCATTAGACCAGAATTACAAAAAATATATTTTTTTACAGTATTCTCCTTTGAAGAATTTTGATGAATAAGCATGTTGGATTGAATCAACCATAAAAGCCCAAGGCTAGAACTGCAGGGTTTTGAGAGACAAATTAAAACAATTCAGAAAAAAAATTCGGAAACTGCTTGAAAAGAATGAAAATGCAGCATCTGTAACTAATAGACTAGTACATTATAGTTTAACCAGAAACCAATGCTTGAGAAGTCATTATTGCTGTCCTCAGAATATAGATGAGTAGATGTACAAAATGGGCAGTCCACGCTCCAGGTGAATAATTTTGTTTTCTATATTATATCTTAGCCAGTTCCAGTATATTGTAGCTTGTGCAATTTTTTTGAAGAGAACATTTGCTAAGTTTTGCACTCAGACAGGCTCTCCAGGAATTGTATAGCTGTGATATTGTGAACATTTCAAATTAGTGCCAGAATTGAAAGTTGTCTTAGAGGCATGTGAAAGCAATTCACTCAAAGTTCCTGCAGGGGACCACAGCATTTATATATGCTCTCCTCGGCCTGAACTCAGAGATCCCTATTTTTGTAGCCCAGACATTCAAACAAGGGCAAGTGTAAGTTGTGACTTCACGCAGACATGGGGTTTCATCCGATGAAGCTCTTAAGCACATGCTTCTCTCTCATTAAACAGCCTAATATCCCCGAGGAGAATAAAGTACGATGCCTCACACCATGGTTTTGTTTTCTTCCTTCATTTCGTTTTAGGACTTCTTACTGGAGTGCTGCTTTTTTAAGTGAAATAAAGTTGATTTTCTGTTTCCCAATGGCCAGATTCCTCTATTCTTAATTCACTTTAAAGAGCCATGTTTAGGAATTAGATTGTATCATAACATAGTGGTTATCACCTTTAAGAGTTATCCCATTTTGAAGCACCAGAAGTACTGGACCACTCTCTAGTCCAGGTCATGGTGGGAGGGTCTGGCTGAGTAGCGCCATCGCACCCTGGTGCCGTCCTTATGGCGACTGCATGTCAGTGCAAATCTCTTGCACACATATACACACAGGGTGTACTTGGCTAATAGGCTAGTGAAGGACCTTTCATTCTTTGCAGAATCGAGCTATTTATTCCTGAAGATTATTTATATTTAAGCAAAAGAGCGATATACACTCTGGGGACTCCAATAACCACCTTCTTTATGGCATACAAACATTTTCTTTAGGCATTTAAAATATTTTTCTGAATAATTTGGGGTTTAGCCATATTTGTGTGATTATATTCCAGACAGGATGATTGATATTAATAAACCACTTGTACGGCATTGTGCCATAGGCATTGGCATTGGCTGATTAATCTCACGGCATCCTTATGAAGCAGATAACTAAGCACTATGAGTCCCCTTGATAGGGATTGACTGGTTAAGTGTAAGAAACACTGGTGAGGTAACATTAATGGTTCACTCAAGAGCACAAAGAGGGAATGAGTGGCAGAGGCCAAAGGCAACATCCCTTTTCCGCATCTGTACCCAGTCCACATGGTGCCTTTGAGCATCTTTCACCACTTAGCTTACTGTCTCCTGTGATGGTTTGGTTTCTGCTGGTCTGCCTCTGTAGGCTGATATACTCACATGCATACATTTGTGAGTGCGTGTATTATAAATATATATAATACATGAATTCATGCATTCCTATGTGTTTATGATCCAAGTTTTCAGAACCTCCTAAACCACATAAGCAGGTTTTGCACAGCTGTCATCTTTGGACCGGCAAAGTCCCAGTTTGAATGTGCTGATGATCAGTCATTAACGGGGATTAGCCATTTTATAAATTCAGGTGTTTCCACATACCCATAGGTGCGTATATGCTCTTTACAGCCATATGGTGTCCTAACATTTGTTTTCTTTGCAGATATATCAAAAATTGAAAGCTGTGGAACACATGCACGTTTATAACATACAGGATATTCCAGACAGGTTTTTCTACAAAAAAGGAAAATTTGTCTCTCCTCTAACTCTCGTGGCCGAGAAAGGATGGTTCATAGTAGAGGTAAAGTATAGAAGCAAAATACTTATGACATGAATGTGAAAAGGTGCAATATATGAAAACAATAAGAAAAATGTACAATTCTATGCTGGCATTGAGTTGAAGTGTTACATCATTTACTTGGGCTGACTACAAAACTAATGTCAAATATTGCTATGTGCTTAAAAGAGCCTAAAGGTATGGCAGCTATGCTGAAGGTAGACAAAGTTAAATAGTCAAGACGGTTCTTTTTTCTGCATCGTCATAAAGCAGGAGGAGTTTTTGTATTTCCCATTCCAGTTCTGTTGCTTTACTCCTCTTCCCCCTGCCCATCGACCTTAATCTCAGACACAAAAAGAGTGATTCCATTTCAAGACCTTACTATCCCTCCATTCAGCAGTACTTTGTGGCAACTTTTCCTTCTGCCTGGCTTCCCACCCACCAGACTCCGTCCTAAAAATGCCCCATTTCTCCCAAGCCCGACAGCCTCAAAAGGGTCAGACTGGGGGTTTACTCCTCAGAGATACCCAGTGCGCACACTGAAATCTGACAGCTTGTTAAGCAGAGAATCGATTAGACTTGCACATGAAAAGGTCTTTCATGCCAACTTATTTTGTTACTCTAAATTATTGTTGTTGTTGTTGTTGTTATTTTGTACTTGTATTGCTACTGAGCGTCTCCACATTACAGATATTAACTGCCCCTCACCACAGCTCAGAGGGTGAGGCAACTTATAATCTTCTAAGTGGGTAAACTGAGGAGCAGTACTAAGTGGTTTGCCCAAGGCCATACATTAAGTCAGTAAGTTGGTGACGGAACCAAGGAGTCCTGGGTTTTTTCAGTGTCCCAGCATAGTCATTGCCCATCATTGCCTTGCAGATTATTGTAACTCAGTTGAGCATCTTCTTTCATGACCCTCAGAGCTACTGCTCACCAGGCTTTGCTCAAGATGGTCCACACCACCACATTTCTCACTGGCCAACCTGACTTTAGGATAATAAGTTCTACAGCTGAATAAAAACGCACCTCTAAAAAAAACCTTATTGCTTTTGAGTACAGATGGGTGGGCAGCACATTTCTGGTTAAAAAAAAAAAAAAAAAGCCAGAGTTAAGATTCAGACACGTAAAGTAGGAATCTGAAACATTTTTGCCAAACTGATTTTAAAAAATTACAACTAAACTCTTTTGTATAGAAGTTCAACACAGAACATTTTTACATATTCTGTAAAAAAAAAATGCACTTTAAAAAAATCGTTGAAACTCTGACAAACCTTAATAACAGTGCAGCAAACACTGCTGCTATGGTAATTATTTCTGTCTCTCTGCCCATTCCTTCCCATTGTTTCTGATTTTCAAGAATGTCCTCTCATTAATGCTGTCAGATTTTCCTTCTCCTCGGTACATTTTCATTATCTGTGAATGGGATGTGAAAATGAAAGTTTCCTGTCATATTTTTAAAGCAATAATTGAGCCTTCTATTATACTTCCTGCCCAAACCACTGAAGAGAGGATGTTCAGCTCTTCCTTATCATTCTCACGGGCTGTTTTAACTCTCTGTCAGCTAGTGGATAGCTATAAGCTGTTTGAAAAAGGGGATTTTTTTTTTTTTTTTGAGAGACAAAGGGGATGTATCTGGAAAGTTTTTTTTTCACAGTAAGGAGCATAGGAACAAAAGCCCGTCCACATTTCGGTTAAAGCAGGATGAGGAGGGATTTCACCCACCTCCGGCTGTATTGAAGCTGGTCTGCTAATACTATCTTGTTCCCTCCACATGAGTGAGTGGTCCCCATCCTTTGAGCAGAATTTCCCCCAGCTGCTCTCCTGCGTGCAACAATGGCGTTAGCCCTCAGAGCTGCATGCTCACCCTATATCCATCTCAGCGTATTTTCCCAAGTTTTAGGGAACAATTGCTGTACAGCGTCTAAACATGCACATGCAGGGCAAAGTCCATCGTCGGCGGTCCCAGACACGCCTGCTTCATCTTTGAGGAGCAGCGCTAGCCCAGGCTTAGGCTGAGTATGAAAAATTAATGTCTCAGTTGAGTCCTCTGTCCCATTTGGGCTTGCCAAGGCAGGCACGTCAGGGTGCTGCCGGCGCCCTTGCCCCAGGGCTTTGTGGGGTTTGCTGTAAGGCAGAGCCTGATGCTCTAGAAGGGCAGCGCTGAGATGCTTGCACAGCCCTTTCCCTGAAGCTACTGCTGTTAATGGCTCCATTTCACGAGCTCTCACTTCAGCTGCAGTTGTGAAAGAAAGTAGTATGTTTTCTGACCCAACTAGCAGCAAAAATAATGGAAATGACTGTGCCTTTGACTGCGTATCTAGCTGCGAGTAGGTGTCTCCTGGTGTCTGGGTGGGTGACGGAAAGTCACGCTAGCCCCTGCATTTGCCATTCCTGGGGAAGCAGCTGGCCACGACATGTGACAGGACCGTGGAGGGGTGTAGCTTCGGCAGTGTCATGGTACTGCCAAAGAAACGTTGCAAACTAGATGTGACTTGGCTTGTCTGGAGCTGATGCTAACAAATGCCGTACAGGTTGCCTAATGGTGAGCAGCCCAGTGACAATTAGTCCCTGGGAACCGCAGTAAGCAGAGCCACAGCGTGAGGAGGTGCTACGGTATGAAGAGGTGAAAGAGTCTGTCTTCTCCTTGGCTTGTTCTGAGCGCTGTCAGTGAAATAGATGGGGACAAGGAAGGAGATTTGTCAGCTAAAATAGTTTAATTATCTGGTACATCTGCTGACTATTACTTATGAAGAAACACAAGGGATACTCTGGGGGTTCCCCTGGAAAGCAGTCGGAAGACCGAAAGCTCATAGCC